AGAAAAACGCAGACTGTTTTAAATACCTTATTGACAAAAATGCCAAAGATTAGAATCACATGATAATATTAATGATCGGACTGAATTAGAATTTTATTGGATATATTAGTATTTATTTTATTATTTTTTATAAAATAAATGTTTGAAGAATTAGAGAAAGAAACTAACTTAGATAAAGAAGATGTCGAAGATGTCAAAGACATTATTCATTAAAAACTTCTAGTCGTTGTAATAACGATCTCAAGCAATTGTCTGAGCAAGAAAACAAAAATATTTCGGTTTTTTCGAAGAACTGGTTCTGTTGGGGTACTAAAACAACATTCAGTGGTGTCTGTACTCACCATCTCACCTGTAGGTTTTATCAATAAGACTAAAATGATGAACCAAATGATGCAAAAAGATCAAGCATATGACAAAAATCACAACCAAACTGGGTTGTAATAGATGTTGTATCAACTTGACAACTTCTGAAAGATCTCAGAAGAAAAACGCAAACTTTATCAAATAACTTTTGAGAAAATGCAAAAAAATAGAAATATAGGAAAGCCTGAATGAATTGATTTCATTAGAATTTTACCAGTGTATTCATCTTTATATTATTTTTGCATTAAATAAATGTTATATTTTTGTTATAAATTAAGAAAATTGATAAATGTAATACATGGCCAATTATTTATCCATCATCCTCTATAACCTATCTCACCTATAAATATCATTATCAAAATAGCCCCGTTTAGCGCTGTTTTGCTTTACGATCTCTTTGATATATATATATATATATATATATATATATATATATCTACATAAATTGTCAAATTCTACTGATTCCATACATATCCGAAACAAGTATTACATTTTCCCTAGTATTACATAGGAAGCACATGTAACACGTAACTAGTTACAATTCGCGTCAGATAGAATTAACAATATAGTTTATAGGGAGTACAGAGCGCGTATGGGACATATTAAACGTATGTTTATATAGATCCAACATACCTTGTTCGTGTTCAAATGAGATCTGCTAATTCAATCTGACATCTGTGGCTGGTGATACAAACGCCGAATTTTGGATATAATCCGAGACTGCAGGTTTGATTGACTATATTGTTGCCCAACACCAAATAGATATGTTACAGTTACTGGAAAATATTCAAAATATATTATTTTTTATAATTGGACTAATAAATATTTATTAATTTAATTTATCTAATAAATTGACTTATAAAAATCTAACACTATTCTATCAATGAATTACTACTGCTCAGTGCATCGAACAAGAAATCGAAAAAAAGCTAAATTTGGAAATATTGTCTCTTATAGTATGTTGATCTAACTTCAGGATTTCAGTTAATTTATAATAAATATTAGAAAATTCAAAGAAAACATGACATTGCCAATGAAAATATTACTAAGAAAATTTAAGAGTGAAATTATTTTGAGCAGCAAATGGTTTTTGTAAAGTTTTGCTACGAGACATTGATCTTTGGTGAATCATATAAAAAAAGTGGAAATTTTTAAAATTCTATGGGATGTATCAGTTTTCAAAACCCCTTTCATTTTTGGCATTTTTATCCAAATAAAAAAAAATCCACAAAACATTTTAACAACCTAATACCTTGTGGTTTTAATAAACTTTAATATAAAGTTATAGCTTATTAATATTGTAGAAAAAGTAATTTTTAATATTTAGATGCATGAAAGTAAGATTATTAGAACCTAATATGAGCCTAATGAAAATTTACTCAAAAACTGGACAAAAAGCTTTTTATCCTAATATATTAATTGAGCATTACCCTGGCAAAAATAATAATTGATAAATGTGGTAATTTCTCCGTAATGTTATATAACTTTGTGAAATAAAAAATAAAAAAAATCCTTACCTAAAGATTCTGCATCCAAGTTTGATTATATACAGATATGGAATTGGCAATCACATACTTCAGCTTTGAATTTTTAATAACTAAAATTCACTACTTTGTACTTTTACTCACTTAAACTTATAAATAATTAGTATTTAAATTAAATACACTTCAACTACCTGAAAAAAATGTCCCCTATAGATCAATCACAGAACCAATAAATGTGGTTTCCATGATACAAGATCAAGGGATAAATATTATATATAAAATAATCATATTTATTACTGCAAAAAATATCATGGAATAAAAAACACAGTAGTTTTGAAATACTTTATTATATAAAAGAAAAAACTGCATTTTGTATATTCATATCGTTTGAAATATAATTACAAATATTTTCTTTATAATTAAAATGAATAATTTCATATGTATTTCACTTATAATAATGACAGAAGGTAAATACTTACGTTAAGCACATTGCTATGATTTATTTTATGTTATTCTATGTATTATCTATATATACAGTTATACACGAATGAAATTTGATTACTTAACAATTAATTCACATGTTCTTAAGATTAATATTTTATATAATTTAGAAAAAATACATTAATATAGAAAACGTTTTATCCAAAAAAATCTAAAAAGTAATGAAAACGAAACGATTCACAAATACTTGTAACAATAGTCTTGGAAGTTTGGTAACTCCATATCTTACGTTACTTAAGTTTTATTAAAAAATATATATTCCAATATTTATTTTAAATTATATTAATACCAATTTGATATACAAATAGTATTAATGTTATTTTGATAGCACGCACTCAAACTTCATATAAGCAATTTCATTAATATAAGTCTTACATTCAGAGAAGACAATTTACAAAAATTATAAAACTTAAGCACTTAAACGTTAAAGATCATATTATAATGTTACTAGAATAAAAAAGAGAAGGATTTTTCCACCGATTTGATACAAGACATTTTTACGAAGCCCTGAAACAACTTCTATAGAAGCATATCGCATTTTCTCATTTAGGCCTAATTTAAATTAATATTTACATTAAATTTTTAAATTATTTACAAATATCTTTATATTATATATTTTGTATCAAATTAAAAGTAGTAGCTATTGATGATGGGTTAGATAAATTACTAAAGTGGTTTTATGTACGTTATTAGTATAAAGAATAAACAAATATTCAGTTTGAAAATATAATACAAATAACTGATTTTGTAAAAATGTAGTACGCCTTTAATAACACATTGAATTAATGAACTGCTAAATGTTTCTTTTAAAAATTAAAAAATATTTTTTTCGTTTTGCTGCAGTTTTATTGTAAAATCTACTTAATTTACTCATCACCAAACAGTGAAAAATAATATCCGCTATTTCTTATATTTTGTTTTTTAATGTTTTAACGTTTTGGTATTTAGCAGTAATTTTACATCAATGCATTTCTACACGATATTAAGACAGACTAGAATAAATATAGTACTTTTATATTATAATTAAAATAATGGAATTTCGATCGATCACAAAGAAATCAATGAAAAAATGTGTTTTATAAACATTTAACCTAAGCACAGATTTATTTCACATTTTCATGAAACATTAAAAATTATAGAAGTGAAATAATTGTTATAGAAAATTTGGTAAGTGAAGAAGAAAATTATATTTTAATTTCATTATTTCTTTTATAATTTATTTAATATGAAATGATTATTTTGTTAATAGTGATTTTAGTTAATATTTATAATTAATGTATATGTAATTTCATTCAGACATTTATATGAATCAATGGATATATCCGCATGTAATTACATAATGTTTTTACTTTACTAGTAAAGTAATATAAATTATTCTTGAATATTCTTCAACAATTAGATATTATTATAAAACCTTCATACCAAATATAAATTTTGAGTAATTTAGTTAACCTATTTCACGTATGATAGATTTACATCCTAAATTTTTCCCAATATTTATTTTGAAATCGATATGTCGGTTAGTCAGAATATTTTCAGGGATATGTAAAATTTGATAAATTTAATTATAAATAAATTACTCAAAATTCATATTTAGTATGAAAGTGATACATACATATACATAATCACGCACATCCTTACACAAATTACACGTATACGAAAGTTTATAAATTTCTTTTAAAACCAACAGATTATTTATATATTTGACTAAAATTTATTAAATATAATATAAAATTATATCACGTTCGAGTGGGTCGGAAAAATAATTATAATTATATATATATATATATAGTAGGGTGGTCTTTAATATGGACATTTTCGAATTTCCTTGCTCCCAAGGGCTCAAATGGTTTCAAATTGATAAAAAACAATTCTCTGGAAGTTTTAGCTCTTAATATTAACTTTTAGATAGTGCGCAATTCAATCAAAATTTGTATGGAAATAGCATGGAAAAAAATTTGAAAATTAAAAAACAAATTTTTAGGTATAACTCTGCGACAAATGAATTAAACGTGAAAATTCGTGTCATTTTTTTTATTGAAAATTCGACGCTCTGCAAAATTTTTGAAAAATTTTTCATGCTATTTCCATACAAAACTTTGATTGAATTGCGCTCTATCAAAAAGACAATATTAAGAGCTAAAACTTTCAGAGAATTGTTTTTTATCAATTTGGAACCATTTGAACCCTTGAGAGCAAGGAAATTTGAAAGTATCCATATTAAGGACCACCCTAATATATATATATATATATATATATATATATATATATATATTGCTAAGTTAAGTTTTCTGAATCAAAAAGCTTGTACTTTTTTAACTAAAAATATCACATAAAAATTATTTTGTTAATTAAAGTAGATGCACTTACAGTTAAAAAAAATGATAAATATTTAGTGCTGATTAGGATTCATTCTGAAGTAAGAAAATAAAATCTGTTAATTTGCTATAATACTCCAACATTCTGAATGTATATAAAGTGGTACACATTCAGAAAGAAGAGAACAAATGCTCCAAACATCAGTCAATTAAATTTTAAATAAAATTATTAAAAAGGACAAAGCCTTTTATTTCAGAAAACGTAGCCTAATTTATATAATTTAATTAAAAAAATTATTTCAAAATAAAATTTTCCAAAATACGTTGTGGCAATTATTTAAAAAAAATTATAAAATTCATATAACTTACAAAGTCAAGAGTCAATTGATAAAAAAATAATATGCATTACCCTATGCTATTTCCAATGGCTAAATTTCAACTACAAATAGACTAGGCTCTTCACACACTCGTACGTGATACAAGGACATTAGTAATGATTTGGCATGTACACAGTTGATTATATGTATCTGGTATAATAGTATCTAAAATTCAGATTGTTACCTCCGATCAACGTTGGCAGAAACTGAAGAGGATCTTTTCGTGGAGGCGACGACTGCAAAAGTCGCCAAAAAACAGCATAATATGGTCAGAATTTGATGGAAATGACCCCCGAAGGTCCTGGTTCCATGGCTGGATGCTGAAATAAGAAGAAATAATAAAAATCGGTACAGATGTAACACTTATGAGTAATAGAACACTTATGCAAGCATTTTTTTTATATTCTATTTCATACCTATTGTCTAACTAGAATCTAGCTACCTTTTAGATTCGGGTGAATTGTTAGGTTATGTGACTTAACTGACTTGTAAAAGCACTATCAAACTTATAAAAACACTGTACTTTTTGTATAACATGTATACTTGTTGCAATTTTGATTACACTAATTACATATTTTACTAACAATGAATAAATTTTAGAAAAATTAAAAGTATTAATTATATATGTTAACGCAAGGACATTTTTGACAGAACTGTCAGCCATCTTCCTGTACACTCCGCGCACAAATTTTTAGTACCATGAAGATCGCAGTTGTACCATAGCCAACATAATGCAAAAATAGCGCCTATTTTGAATTTGAAATCATACCTACAGGCTTTTATTATGATAATTTAATATGATTTATTAAAATAAACATTGTATAAAAATTATTTAATATAAAACTGATCTACAAATATCCGCACACGGTAATGAATAAATATATTGCGAATGATGAATGTATATATATGTTGCGTTATAGATTATAGAAAATTAGATAAAAATATATATATATTAATATATATATATATATATATATATATATATATATAGATTATAGAAAATTAGATAAAAAATTTTAGTAAAAGTGTAGACTGAAAATTTTACTATTAAGGCATATTGCAGTTAGTATGAAAAAATAGCGCAACTCATGGTATATTTTTCAAATTTGTAGTGTATTATGTATTTACAGCATAATGTGTAATAATTAGATCCCCAACTATCTGCACAATTGTGAATAAATATGTTGCACTAGATTATAGAAAACTAGGTATACAATTTTAGTAATCTTCATGCATTATTTTATAAGTTATCAGTAAATTATATTTTGCAAAATGTTTTAATGCTATTTTGTTACGAATTATGTAATATTGACTATATACTAGTTTCTTTTACCTTATCTATTCTTAAATTATTCATATTAAAATAATTTTATTTTAGCCACATTGTTTAAAGTGTCATAAATCAAAATTGAGTTTGTTTCATAAGTTCATTTTTATAGATGCCACTAACAGTATGGCCAGTGGCCCGTGGTTGAAAATGCTCGTAAAATACATAAGTACAAAGAATAGTAAATTGAATACAGAAGTTAAAAATATATAATTAAAAAATTACATGATTTTCTATATTAAATTATTTAAAAGACAGTGCAAAATTCGTGAAAAATTTCTCTGAATATTATTCGAATTTTCATAGTCTGAAAATTTTGATGTATATTAGAAGCCAAATGATCTGTTAGTAACGCCAAACAATCATTTCAATATTTTAATATTTTGTGGGTTGAATTTGCAGAAATTTAAACTAGTTTTATAGGTTTTTCAAATATCAATTTATTAATGTGAATTCACTGATTTACATATACACAAAAAGTTATCTAATTTATCAAAATTTATCAAACGCTATAAACGGTGAGAATTTTCTATTAAAAAAACTAGTAACGTAAATTAAATTAAATAGCAGTCGAATATAAGGCAGCACAATCGACCAGAATTTAAAACATTAAAGTAAACAATAAATTTTGTATGATAAACTATATTATTATTGTAAATGTATAATACACTATAAATTCAGTCTAAAAAATTTCAGTCTAAAATCCAGGTGTAACGCATTATTAGATGAATTTAAGTTAGCCTTACTTACCTATTGAAGCATTGATATTTTTTTCGATTAAAGTTCTTGTTTCAAGAAAATCATTTTTTATTATACGTTATTTCTATATCTATTCTATTAGTTATTACACACACTTTGTACAACCGTGTTTCCCCTGAATTTTCGCCCCCAAATCTCATTGAATCGATTCGTGTCGTTATTTTTAATATGATTTTTTATTCCCGCTTCGGCATTTGTTTTAGCGTTGTTTTTATTTTTATTTTTTCGTCGGATATTTGTTTTTATTTGGATTTTTCCATCCGTTGCATCGACGCGTACACGTCGATATATTTACGATTTACAATGCCGCGACAATCGGATGGAATCACGCGCCATTGTAATTTTTTCGCAATCGGAGGTTAACCGGGTACGACTGTGGCCGTCCGGAAATAACAGTAGTAATTAATTTTTATTTATCACGCGCTCCGGTTACCCGGATTCGATAACGACGCTTTTGTACAAAAATAATCCCACGTCCGACAGGCTACATAGTTTGATTATGCGCCCAAATCTCTACTTTATACTTGTACACGCGAAATTTTCGTGTTAATAATACTAGTTATACTGCGAGGGCGATAAAATTTACACGAATTTGATGTTCGGGCAATTTTCAAGTTCGATTTATGATATGAACTTTGCTTTCAATTTGTTCCATATGTAGGTTTTATGAATATATACGGCCATAGTAAATTAATGATTTTGATAAATCTTCTCGCTTGTATTAATTATTTGTTTTTAATCATCAATAAACGTTAAATTTAAATGAATAATCTAATCATTAGAAGCTATTTTACACATTTGTTAAATTTGGTAATTCGAATTGATAGTAAATAAAAATATAATATAAAATGAGCTATATTTATGTTATTGTTAGTTCTAATCTTATATAAATAATTTACAAAGATTTGCAAATATTTCATCTTCTAATGGAAAAGTTTTTGCACTATTTTGAAGTTTACTAAAATATACAATAAATCGTGCTATAAACTATAAATCAGACAATTATTTGGATTATAGCACTGACCAGATTTTCATAAGATTCAGATTTTATAAATTCAGATAATTTCCAAAAAAATCGTCTAGATATTCTACATAATTTCGTATGACAATTTTTATAATTATTTATTTAAGTTGACCAGAATTTGGAAAAATGATTGATTTGAACAGATTGCATTTGCATAATTCAAGCACTTCACTGAAATGTGCAATAATTTGTATCAGACCCTTAATATCAAACAATTATTTGGCTTACAGCAATCACCAAATTATTCAGATGTTAAAATTCAGATCAGTTTCAGAGATGTCTTTTACATATTATATATAGAGTTCATGCAATATTGTATGAAAAATTTTACAATTATTTACATAATTTTACTAAATTTGCAAAAATGACAGGTTTGAAAAGACTGCATTTAGATAGTCCATTAAGCACTCTACTAAAATCTATAATAAATTAGACCAGAAGCTATAAATCAAACAATTATTTATCTCATAGCCTTCAATAAAATGTTCACATGTTGAAAGCAGATAGTTTTTAATGAAATGTTTTAAACAGTATAAATTGATTCACAAAATTTTGCATGAAAAAATTCTCATTTTTTTAAATGCATAGGTTTTCAGAAAATTTCAATGATTACAGGTGTATAATTTAAGAGCTGTAGTTCAATGAAATTTACAATAAATTAGGCAAATAAATCAGACTATCATTGGGGTAGGGCTATTTGCCCTACACTTACCATCTTTTTTGAACCCCTTGTAATGCCTCAATAAATAGTAAACCTTTTTTTGTTAATTTTTAAACATTGGAAAAAAATTTGAAGCAAATTACTCGAAAACTTGTGGATCAATAATCATAATATTTCTATAGCAAATTCTGTTTATATTTGACTATTTTTTCATTTAATTTTCATTTTTATTTTTATTTCTAATAGAAAAAATCTCATCATTAAATATAAAATTATCAGATAGCTGCAGTGTATCTGCAACGTTGTACATGATAATTTTATATATAATGATGAGATTTTTTTTATTAGAAACAAGAATAAAAATACAAATTAAATAAAAAAATAGTCAAATATAAAATAAGGTAACTTATCTATAATTTAAAATATCTATTTTATTCTGTCCAAAATGTAATTAGAAGGATTTGCCTGCTGCCTATGTAATTCGATTTTGTGATTACATTGCATCATTTCTCAATCTGTCTTCTAATGAATGCATTTATGAATTGTAATGTAGTAATGTTGTAGTAATGACTACATCGATAAATTCCTAAAAATCTACCGACAAAAATCAGATATCCCCAAAAAGTTGTGTACACCGTTCATAAAGATATATTAGAACATTACATCGTGGCGATGTTTCTCTTGTTCATTCGCATACTATATACATAGATATCCATCATGGAATTATACGCGATGTAGGTAGAAAGATACCCTTTTGCATATATACATAAAATATCAATTCTATTTAAATACGAGAAGTTCACATCGCGCTGCCAAGCACACGGGTGTATATGGAGCAATACATAAATATGTTTCTAAATCACGAAAAGCAGTCGGTTGAATAGTCAGCCAGCGAAAACAAGCTTCGTTATAAGCTATATGTATTTTTAATGGTAATAGAAAAGGAAAATTAGAAAATAGATTGGGAAAAGCGGTATAGTATGTACTAGGCACCCGATTCACTTGAAGTCATTATTTGGAAATTGCTAAAATATTAAAATTTATCTTTATTTTTGCCCAATCACCATCACTGATTGTCTGGCTCACGTGTCAACATCTGTATCTACTATATCTTGTTAAATATTTCAAATATCTATATTAGACATCTGATTCATTCAAAGCCAACTGTTAAAATTAGATAAAATAATACAAGCGGAATATAATATCCACATTTATTTTGTCTTTAATATTCACATTTATCTTTATATGTCCAATCAAGATTACTGATTCCAGTGTCACGTGTAAGCATCTGTATTTTCTAAATATTTTTAAATATTAAAAAAAACTATTTTAGACAAAGAGCACTACACAGCTGATTTATTTAAAAAATATTATTAAAAATAGATTAAATAATGTCAAATATTATAATTCATTCCTAATTTTGTTCAAACACCATTACTGATTTCATTATCACGTGTATCTGTACCTACACTATACTTTGAAATATTTTAAAAAACTATTTTAGACCAATTGAACCAGATTGCTGATTCATTCGAAATCAACCATTAAAAAAAACTATAATAATGTCAAATATTATAATTTATCTTTATTTTTGTCTATTCCGCATTACCAAGTCCTTTTTTACGTGCAAATATCTGTACTGTATATTATTTTATATACAAAAAACGAATAAACAAATGCATTTTTCAGGCTACATTTTAATTATAACTATGGAATTATATCAGTGACAATGAAAGACTAGAACTAGAAAAACACTATGCATTTTTTCATGCAAAATTTTGTGAATCAATATATAATGTGTAGAAGATTTCATTGAAAAATATCTGAATTTTCAAAATTTGAATATTTTGTTGAATAGTACTAGTACTATTAATAGCCAAGTACTAGTTTGATTTATAGTTCCTCGTCTAATTTATTACAGATTTAAGTAAAGTGCTACGTAAACTACGTAAAAACAATCTGTTCAAATATCATTTTTGCAAATTCTTATATATTAAAATGAACAATCAATATATAACAAGTACTAGATTTCTTTAAAAAATATCTGATTTTTCGATATCTGAACATTTTGATAAATGCTATATAATTCAAGTAGTTTCTAGTACAATTTCACATATATTATATGTATATAGTTCCCGATTTCATTGATCATCAGCTCCTTAATGATGCGAGTATGATCCGTGTAATTTTGAATTTTTATAATAAATTAATTGTAATCTTTATCATATAAAAATATGTAAAAGTCAATATAAGACTAGAACTAGAAAAACACTAAGTATACTAAGAAAACACTTAAAAATGTGTTAAATATCAAATATCATCTATATTTTATATTTACAAACATTTCATACAGATTTTCATATGTGTCGTATGTCTACATTTAGATAACTTTACATGTAAAATGTAGAGCCCATGAATTTCTTGAAGTATCATTGACATTAACATTTTTCAATTTATATGATTATATCTAATATTATTTTTTTAAATTTTAAATCCGGTCATAGTCTTTCAGCTTGTAGTAAATTTTTCATGTAAACCCATGATGCAGAAGAAAATTCGTATCAATAATGTTATATTCTGCTTGAATATTTTTAATATGATAATGAACATTTTTAATAAAATTTAAACTTTGTTAACTAACTAAATTTGAACTTTAAAGTTTTAGTCTCCACAAATTTTAGTAATAATCAAATACAATTTACCATCCAGATAAATTTATTTAGTTGAAACATGTTATACTTAAAATTTTTACATGAAGTTTTAAAGTTTTTTTTCCCAAATTTCAAGTTTGCTTTCAAAGTCTTAATTATGATATCGGCTCTTATTTATTAAAATATTAATCACAAACCCAAAACATTCTGATTCACCATATAACCTCTGCTTCTCTTTGCCGAATTTTGTGTCGCAATGAATTTATCAAAATACTAAATTATTCATCACTTCATTACAATTTAAACGGCCTTTGCGTTCAACTCTCATATTTGGAGAAGCGTTTCGCGGACAGATATCGCCGAAATTATGCGCATCTAAAGATTTATGGAATTTCATTTCTGGTCTTTTTGCCTTCATCCCCTTTCGCCCTTGAGATGATATCTTACCCCGTTTTCTGACACCCCTCGTCGCCCAGAGGTAGGCACGACCGTGCGTCAGTCTTTGTCGGCTGTTTCGCATAGTCATAGGGACATTTCTCAAGATTCAATTCCAAACGTCAACCATCTCGAAATATCCATTTCCCACAGGGAAGTCGTTGAAGGAAAAAATCAACTAACTCGCCCTTTCCTTGCGCTCATCAAACGGGCAAAGGGCGCATTTGGAAAATCCTGTCGACCGAATTATTGTTGTCGCCTCTTTATTAACATCGTTTAAATCAAAAAAGTTTCCAAAAGCGAGATGACAGTACTGAAAGCGCAAATGTGTTTAATATACAAAACGGCGAAGGGTGATATTTATTTTAAAACAATTTTTGGGGTTTCTGACTTTTCATTTGTCAAAACAAATTTCGTAAGGACAGATCATTGTGCTTAAAGCATAATTATTTTTTTTTCAATTTAATGCAAATATTGTATGTCCATTTAACAAAATGAAATTTAACCGAATTAAAACAAGTGCAACAATAGACCTAAATCAAGATATACATGAACACTACACTAGACAACACAATTTTCACATTGAACACAATAGAAAGAAGAGTTTGAGAGAAAATGTCATATGGAGTGCTAGCAAAATATATAACGAATTGCCAAACGATATTAAGATGACCAATGACGATGATAAATTTAAACAAAAATAAAGAAATACTATGAGGAAATTGAAGACAGAAAAGACTGAAGAGTTATATATGAAGATATTTTAATTATAATTGATATTATATTAATGAAATAGTCAAATGAAATGTATATACAAAATATGAAAACTGTTTTTCATAGTCTCTCATACCAGGCACCTCTGTCTGACTGAGATATGGAAATAATGTATATATGTGAATAATAAATAAATAAATAAATTTAAATTTGAAATAAAAAGAAAACTTCATGACTACAAATTTTCAGAAAAAGACACTTTTTAGTTTTTCTTTAATAATTCGGAAAAACATTTAGGTAGCCACAATTTAGATTTTTCAGATCGTATTTTTTTAAAATAAAACAAGAAAAATTTGAGGAAAAATGCAATTTTTTTAGAAATAGAATAATAAAAAAATATAATATTAACAAAAGATTATTTAAACTAAAAACAGTAAGTTCAAAAAGTCCTAGTTAATAATTTTGTAGTATGACATTTTAATGTTTTACTACCATATTGTTTGTTCGTCTATTTTGTTCTGCGCAAATGTCTATCTATTTCAATTTGAAGTACCTATTATTTTTTTCCTTTTGAAAAATTCATTTTAACAATTTATAAAAAAGTATTATGTGAAACTTTCGAGAAGGATTTAATATGCTATTTACAAAAATATGAAATTTACTTCTCAAGAAATAAGTATTTCTTCCAAAAGTGTGAAATAAAACCTATACTTTCATTAGGACGAAGGGAATGTTATGAACACATATGTTATTTAATTATCTACCTATTATAGTGAAGATTATTATTCCAAAATAACATAATATACTTGATAATACAATAAATAGCATAAAATATTTGCCAATAATGTTTCAAAATTTGTTTTTTAAGTGAAATTAATAATTTAATACATAATCTCCCTAAAATACAAATTGTGTTATTTTTGTACATGTAAACAAATGCAAAAATTAATAATTGCAATAGGAATTTCACAAAAAAGCATGCAAAATTTAATAAATCTAAAGTAAACAGTATTACGCATTTAAACAAATAAATAAAAACACAAATATATTCATTTGAAGTATGCATTTTAATATTTTTTAGGAACAACTGTTGTTTGAGTATTTGTTACTGGTATGCATGATTTTATAAAAAAAATGTATCAAATATTTAATGAAATGTTTGATATGCTATACTCATTACATCATAGGTAGTTGTGATATAAAAAAGGTGAAACTAGTGTAACACAAGCACGAGATAGAATCAATAATATGTGTGATAAATACGATGATGCTTTACCGAATCTGTATATTAATTTATATATATATATATATATATATATATATTTAATGAAACAATATGTTACCTTGTACTCGGTCCGCCCGGGACCCAACAGGCCTGACGGTTTCCCTCGATTCTAAAACAGGAGCCCTTTGAGGTTTGTCACCTTCGACTGATTCCTCATTACTACGCCAATAAACCGTAGAAATCGTAGCCAAACACTGAAATTCAAATATACATTTTAACTATAAAGCATCCTACAAATGAACAAATACACGAACAAAATACTCATGAAAATTCAGCTTATCAGAAAACTTCCATCTATTAAATAACAACCAACTATGAGTTGATTAAGTTAATTTCAGAGGCACAAGTTGGAGCGCTTCGGAAGATAAATATGAATGAGTTTTATATTCAGACTTCTCTTGAGGAAATACAGTTTATTATTAAATAAGTGTAACTTTGCATCAGAAATATTTAATTCAGTTCGTAAGTAAAAAAAGAAGTTTAATGCAAATAGTCCAGTCATTTGGTGCAAAAAAAGGCTGTTGCCGGTACAGTACTCCGGGAATTCTGAAAATTGGTAATTTAATAGATTTCGAGGTGCTCTTTACGAAAATCAACTTTGCCACCTCAAATTTGAACGGCAAGTTGCCGCCATATTGAAAAAATTGCGTCAAAAAACAGCTTTATTAAAATATCTCCTTTCTGGCTGATTCTACGATAAAAGTATTATTCTACGAATTAAACTAGAGAAAATTTCCTACAATTGTTTAGAAAACCGTTTTTTTGTAAAATTGATAGTTTGAGAGTACGGCCGCCTCAAAGTCTTTGCTGCTCTCGCCGTAGTATCAAATCTGTCCATATATGACAGCACTTCGAACTTGACCACATTCTCTTTAATAATTAATATTTTCAATGTTAAATTAAGCGAATAAGATCTAGAAATAGAATAATTCAAATATTTTTTGCTTTTTTTGCTAATTTTTCAACACTTCAAAGACAAAGTAGCTATAAATATACTTATAGCTTGAGTAGCACCTTATAGCGTCAAGTAGCTTGAAGCGTTAAAAAAGCAGCAAAAAAACAGAAAAATATTTGAATTATTCTATTTCTAGATCTTATTCGCTTAATTTAACATTGAAAATATTAATTATTAGAGAGAATGTGGTCATGTTCGAAGAGCTGTCATATATGGACAGATTTGATACTACGACGAGAGCAGCAAAGACTTTGAGGCGGCCGTACTCTCAAACTATCAATTTTACAAAAAAAAGGTTTTCTAAAGAATTGTAGGATATTTTCTCTAGTTTAATTCGTACATAGATACTTTTATAGTAGAATGAGCCAGAAAGGAGATATTTTAAAAAAGCTGTTTTTTGACGCCATTTTTTCAATATGGCGGCAACTTGCCGTTCAAATTTGAGGTGGCAAAGTTGATTTTCGTGAAGAGCACCTCGAAATCTATAAGATTACCAATTTTCAGAATTCCCGGAGTACTGTACCGGCAAAACGACCAAATGACTGGACTAAAAGTTGTAGTTGGAAAGCGGTTTGTTTTGTAGCACTTGGTACAATTGGTTTTCTATATAGAAAAATTTCCAAGATGATAAATTACAAGTATTAAATTATTATTTCTAAATGTTTGAAAAAACCATACATTGATAATATAAAATAATAACATTGCAATATCTTTGAATAAAATTATTATTATTGAAAGCAAAACTGGTGATACATGGCATTGGGCTCTAGGGCAAATTGCTTCAACTTCCCGTACCGTAATCAAACATTCGAGGAACAAAAATAATTAATAATTAATGAAAATTGATCAATAATTAATAACAATTGTTTTAAATATCTTTAATAAATTTATTATGGATACTGTAATATTAATCATGTATATTTTATATATCTAATGATTACGAGAAACGTAAACAAGAATATTAATAATTATAGATAATTTGCAACGTTTTGAGCGAATATTTAGCGAACGGTAAAGATATGTTAACATTTTGAAACTTACGGTTAGATTTTACGACTTTATTTATTGCATCCATAGAGAGCTAAGTCTATATCCTAAACCGTTTAAAGTTATGTTTTAAAAGCCGTTGAGGGCAAAAATGTTCAAAAATCGACGAAAAAATTTCTTTTTTTTAAACTTCTCGTCATCCAAACCTCTCATATCTCAGAAACTATTGAATGTTCCAACTTTAAATTTTTTTCAAATATTTAGTAAAGTGTAGTAACAATGTGCGTCAAGTTTCATTAACATCAAATTATGCATTTTTGAAAACGTACAATCTGTTCAATACTAGTATTGAGAGCGGAGCCAGCCGCCCATCAACCTCGCATATCTCAAAAACTATTGAATGTTTCAACTTTAAATTTATGTCAAATATTTAGTAAAGTGTAGTCAGAATGTATGCCAAGTTTCATCAAAATCAAGGTATGCATTTTTGCAAACGTACAATCTGTTTCAATTCTAGTATTGAGAGCGAAGCCGACCACCCATCAACCTCGCATATCTCAGAAACTATTGAATTTGCCAACTTTGAATTTCTGTCAAATATTTAGTAAAGTGTAGTAACAATGTAGGTCAAGTTTCGTCAAAATCGAATTATGCATTTTTGAAAACGTACAATCTGTTTCAATACTAGTATTGAGAGCAGAGCCAGCCACCGATCAACCTCGCATATCTCAGAAACTATTGGCTGTTTCAAATTTAAATTTTTGTCAAATATTTAGCAAAGTGTAGTAACAACGTAGGTCAAGTTTCGTCAAAATCGAATTATGCATTTTTGAAAACGTACAATCTGTTTCAATACTAGTATTGAGAGCAGAGCCAGCCACCGATCAACCTCGCATATCTCAGAAACTATTGGCTGTTTCAAATTTAAATTTTTGTCAAATATTTAGCAAAGTGTAGTAACAACGTATATCAAGTTTCATCAAAATCGAGTTATGCATTTTTGAAAACGTACAATCTGTTTCAATACTAATATTGAGAGCGGGGCCAGCCACCGATCAACCTCGCATATCTCAGAAACTATTGGCTGTTTCAAATTTAAATTTTTGTCAAATATTTAGCATAGTGTAGTAACAACGTATGTCAAGTTTCATCAAAATCGAGTTATGCATTTTTGAAAACGTACAATCTGTTTCAATACTAATATTGAGAGCGGGGCCAGCCACCGATCAACCTCGCATATCTCAGAAACTATTGGCTGTTTCAAATTTAAATTTTTGTCAAATATTTAGCATAGTGTAGTAACAACGTATGTCAAGTTTCATCAAAATCGAGTTATGCATTTTTGAAAACGTACAATCTGTTTAAATACTAGTATTGAGAGCGCAGTCAGCCACCAATCAACATCGCGTATCTAAGAAATTATTGAATGTTTCAACATTAAATTTTTGTCAAATATTTAGTGAAGTATAGTAACAATGTAGGTCAAGTTTCATCAAAATCGAATTATGCATTTTTGAAAACGTACAATCTGTTTCAATACTATAGCTTCAAAATTCTTGCACTTTCTGATATATATTTCGATAAATGTATATTTTATCTATAGACAGCAAAATTATATGAAGCATGAAAGTCAACAAAAATACTACGAATTAAATCAAATTATCATTTATGATTATCTGTTTATCTTTAGCTTTAGCTTTAAAAATTACATAGTACATTCACTTTAAAAATTAGAAAGCTTCTATTGAAGTGTTGGTAATATAGTTCAAATAGCTTTTGAGATAAAAGCATTTAAAAATGTAAAAAATTGAAAAGTGTGTTTAGTGAAATTGTGGGGAACGATAAACGATAGCTTCAAAATTTTTGCACTTGCTGATAGTTATGTCAAAAATTTATATTTTATCTATAGGCAGCAAAGTCCTATGAAGATTGTTATCAACAAAAATTACTGCTTCATCTATCGATTATCTATTTACCTTTAGCTTCATATCGCCTTTCTTGAAATGTCTCGGCCTAACGCGAAACTGCAACCCCAATATTGTGGTCTCGAGGCCCTCGCGCCCCGTGATCAACTTATGAGGTCCTCGCAGCAATTCGGGGTCCGCCGATTCGCCGTTGATGAACCAATTTAATTCGGCGGCAGGTTTGGAGCGTCCGGCTGTGCAATTGACGCGAACCACGTCGCCAATCTGATAGCGCGGTCTGCCGCCTGTTATGCGGGGACCTTCTTCTGGCAGTGCTGGTAATAGATAGAAAAAAGTGATTAATAATCAGTTAACTAATACTTATAATGAAACAAAATAAATTATTAGAATTGTTCCAAATATTACAATTTTGATCAAACTTTATATATATATATATATATATATATATATATATACGAGTATATATATATATATATATATATATATATATATGTGTCTATATATATAAATATATAACAAATGTATTCTGAATAGGTATATTTTTCAACTGGGTCCTATTCCTTCTCTTTCCTATTTGATAATGCGTGACTTGCCACTTGACCTTGAATAGAGAATTCAGACTCCGACGATCGTTGGCGGAGCAGTATAATGAACCACTTGTAACGGATAACACATAATGCTAATTTAGGTTTCCATATTTTAGATTTTAAATTATAACACACTGATGATGAGACAAACGAAACAAAAGAGTGTTGTTTGTTCATATTTCTAAATTAATATATTATATATATATATATATATATATATATATATATATGTGTGTGCATGTATATAATTATTTAGTACATTTGTAGATATATCTCTCACGTCTGAGAGAAGTGTCACCTACAGCAGACCAGAGTGCACAAACATAGAATGTATATATGGTATACGACTCTGTTTATCTCAACTTCTCCAGGTAAATTTCTGTAGTTTACATTACAGTAAGTACGTGCTCAATATCACATACGACAGAACAACAAGAGCTTGCAAAGATTTGTCATTTTGCTGCAATAGAGCCATCGCCGAGAAAAGGGGAGCAGAATCAGTGACAGCATAAATATTTCAATATATAACCGACATATGAAGTAATATGTATAATAAATAACGTAGTATCTGTTTTAAAATGAAAGCAGGTGTTCTCTAGTCAGTGACTACTTTTTAAGCCATGCTCTTTAGCATTATACAGAAAGTAGTAATTGCAGGTGTATTGCAAAAACACAAGAATTTCTTGTGGAATATGTAACAATTTTTATAAGTCAGTAATATATCCCCTTGTAAAACTTGCTTGTTTATTATTATTCTATTACTTTCAAAAACCGAATGACCCTGAATGTTTCTGAACAAACATCTGCCAAACAATGCGACAGCCAAATCAAATATTTATGTCGCCTCGATCAAACTGTCAAATCGATTAATTTGCCATTCAATGAAAATTTAATACCAAGTATTTGACGCTGTTGTTATTCTGCGAAGTTATTTTACTGGTCAGAACTAATGATGAAGTTGATGTTCCACTTGCGGCTTAAAGTTTAATTATTAACACATTAAACTTTGACCGACGAGTTTTGCTAAAGTTTTGATTGGAAAGTTATCAGTATTGATATCGAAACATTAAGTAGACTTAGGTAATCAATTACATTACTGAATAATTCACAACAATTGTGACTTTATGTCTAAATTAAAGCTGATGATAAAATGAACACGTTTCAAGAAGTTTACGAAAGGAATGCAAAAATCAATTTTTTATGCTGATGTATACTCAATTTCCATACAAATGGCTATCTGATTTGATGCAAAAGAGCTTAAGAAGTCAATGAAAGTTTTCCATTGGAGAAACCATCTAAAATCATAGGACAATAAAATATTCTGACTGAATATTTGCAAAATTACAACGAAAAAAACATAAGTTTCATTGAATTTCAAATACATATATGCAATTACAAAATATTTCGACGAAATATCGAGTATTGATTACTTTTATACCTGATTGTGAGTATTATTAATATAGTGAATTAACATACTTTATTTATATGACTTTTAATAATTGCAATTATATATATATATATATATATATATATCATATTTTTTGAAAACGAAAGATATTATCATTTGTGTAGCACATTGGGATGCTGATTGTCGGATATTATGTGATACAAAATAGGTACTATCTATATAATATTGATTCTTACTAGAAAATAGATACGTTATATAAAAATTTCTTAGAGCATCAGAAGTTAAAGTGATTTAGATAAAATATTATATATTTTTTCATTTGCAATCAGGAAAACGCGAGTTATACCACAATCCTACATTGCTGATTGACTAACAATATATGATACAAAATAGTTATATTTTTTTAAGTATTTCACTCTATTATGCCCAAAACCGAGACCAAAATCGGGGTATTCCATAGTGTTCAAGTTCACAAACTCGTGTGGACAGAATTAGGAATTCCTCTATGGACAACCTGACATCAGGCAGTAGCAATGTCTATTTTCACTTGAAAATATAGATGAAAAGTTCGTTTCCAATTGATATAGCCCATTTCGGACACTGCGGTGTAAAATGGCAATGGAAAGTTTTTCATGCTATTCTTTCCCAAATCGAGCTGGAGTTGAACTTAGCCCTAGGACAGTACTGCCCATACCACTGTATGATTGGCGGACATATATGATACACAATAAGTACATCATCCAGCAATTTTCAGAACAATGGAAAATTAGAGTAATTTGAATTGAGCATATAATAGTTTCTCATGTGCAGTCGAAAAAAACGAGAGCTTTATCTTACATTGCTGATTGACGGACATTACACGATACAAAATAGGTACATCATCTAGCGATTTCTTTAGAGCAATAAAAAGTTAAGTATGCAAGTCCATTTCATTTTGCAAGATAGTGCTACGTTTGTGATTCACTCTGTAAACGACATGGCGAAAGCTCCAGCTCTGGCTATCAGTTTCTTATTTTATATCCTCTCACAATCGTTACGCCTATCCGCCATTAATCCACAAGAGCTTCCACTCTATAAAAACGCACTCACTGACGCTGTAAATAATTCGAAACGACATGTATATGGGGAAAGTTTTCCATGTATATATATTTATATATATATATATATATATATATATATATATATATATATATATATATATCATTCCTTATATCTTATATTTATGTACCTACAAAGTTCCACTTAAGAAAAACTACAAATAATATATAGAGTGAACATGGTGCAATTTCTCCTAAGTACGTATGATTTTCAAAGGTAAATGGTAGACTTTGTACATAATATATTTTTTCCTCTGATTCTCGAAAAATGTACATTTCACATCTTAGTGCTTTTGACATATGAAGATTATTCAATTGGCTGTACTATGAGAAAATAGCAAAATTAATATCAAGTAGTCTATAACATGAGAAGGCCTTCTTAGTAAACAACTTAGTATAATGGCACTTTCCTCTTCACTAGTTCAATATTGAAGAAAATTTTTTGAAGTCTGATGATTTATGCTATTTTATACAATTCAAGCAAATATTCCTAATTTGCCAAAAATTATTAAAGCAGAATAGACGTCCATCCTAACTAATTAGCGGGTCAAGTACAACTGGAAGGCCAGCCGATCAGGCTTATAGGCAAAATATCTGGAATATAGTATAATTAACTATAATACTTTCTTTTTACTATATATAATTGTTTTTTACCTTTTTGTTTTTTTATTATTATATTTTGATTAGCTCTAGTAGATACGCTACCAGGGGGTATCTACTAATTTGTAATCAACTTTGTTGCTATATACTTGTCAGCATTCTCTTAATGTAATAATATATACAGATAGCAGAATAAAATTGAATAAGAAATATTAAAAAAAATATTCCGAATATTTCTACAAAAATGTTATTGAATTCAGTTAAGAAAATATTTTGTCTCTGAACTGTTGGAATGATACTTGCTCCTCAACACTGTCGATTTTTAGAAGACTACATCACGTTTATCTAAATTATACATTTTCAGTACTACTTAATTTATAATAATGATTATAAATTACTAACAACTAATAATTAAGAATTAATGTATCTTATATGAATTTAAATTTATAATTAATATACCACTGAAAGCATTTTATTCAAATTTAACATATAAATTACTTATTAAACATATCACCTTATTTTCCTTGTATTAATCTCAATTCGATTCTCTATTTGATTAATATAATCATTTTCTCACTGCCTAACCATTTAATCTTTTATACAATTATATTTTAATGTTATTTTGGAATTTATTTTCAAACATTATCTCATTTTTTTATTGATCGATACTAGTTTTACATGTTGAAATCGATGGAAATATTAAAAACATTTTAATATTGACTAAAAATGGATTAGACTTAAAATACAGTATGTCAAATATAATATTTTTTATATAATATACTAAATATATTTCACCGGAATCTAAAATAGAATAAAACCTCTATTCAAATACTTAAATGAATAGACGTGACAAGGGACTAAAATAATATATATATATAGCATATAAATTCGATTTAAATATTTAAATAAATAGGTTTGACAAGGGACTGAAATAATATAAAATATTATAGATTACTTTGACTTTGAATAGATAAGCAAAAAAATAAAATACACATCCAAAGAATTTTTCAATAGAATAAAATAATACTAAACCCAACACATCAACGATACTAACTAGAGCTTTTATATTCAGAAAAAATAGCCTAAGACGCATCAGTTGTCTAGAAATTCCATTATATTATATATATATATATATATATATATATATACATACATATAGGTATATCTATTACCCAAGTATATAAGTACCCATAACAAAAGTCGTAAGACAGAGTTCTCCTTTATAAAGCAATTGAAGCAACACGAACACGAGAGGGAAAAAGTTTTCGCAACATTTTGTCTATTTGAAATTGAGATTGAAAATAAAAGTAGTTATATAGACCGGAAAAACCATCTCAGTGAAATCGGGAAAAGTCGTAACAATCCTGAAGTGGAATTCTTGTGTTTATATAAGTGTACTTCAGGAACGATGAAATATAAAACACTCAATATCATTGCTTTGATAGATTTGAGTGCGTACATTGAGTAGGAAGAAAAGTATTGAGGTAATGGAAAACCGAAAATATTTGAAGACAATTTCAAAAATATAAATTGCAATTGCATAGTTATTGATACATTACCAATAGTGTTTCAAAAACTACAATGTAAGCTTATGCCCCAGAAAAAAAATTCGACAAGAATTT